TCGTCTACACTTGAAACCGCACTTTGCCCCACAAGGCGAGTTCACATCTTTCATATCTACGAACAGTGTTTACAAACTGATGACCGTTGTCATGGAGACGCGTTGCGTTTTCTTTGTGCTAAGGACTGAAATTGTAAATATTATTTAGCCATGCTTCTGGACTTCAAAGGTTTACTATTACACTTCCGGGTTAAGCCATGCCACTTCAGAACGATGCATATATATATATATATATAATAATTATTTATTTATTATTAGTGTTCTGTCTGACGACAGGTCCATATGAACAGGATCCTTCCATCCTTTTCTCGGACTGGGACCTGTTCATATACGTTCTTGGCAGATGATCCAGAAGTGGTTTGCCATTGCCTTCTTCTGTGTGTGAATGGAGTAATTGTTGGGATGCCACGGAGGAAAACTCCGTGTTGCCTAGACCACGGCCTTGCCCAACACAAGTTATAAATTCGGGCACCGCCGGGAATCGAACCCGAGACCCCAGGATTACAAGGCCAAAAATTATAATTTAGCTACAGATTTCTGGTACAATGTTTGATTTTTGCAGAACCGTGTTTTAGGGCAGGTTCATCGAACGGAAATACCTGAGTCAAGAACACGTAAATAAGTGTTACAGCTACAAGATAAAATTTGCTTACTGTAGGCGTTCCAAATTGGGGGGGAGAGAATTCTCCATTAACTTTATGTACGTATAACTTTTTAAAAATTGGTCATTCACTTGTTTTCAAATATTATAACAATTCAAATCGGCCTGTAATGAACAGGACGTATTTCTTTCGTTAATTTTCGTAAAAAAAAGTTTGTGACAGAATGTGTAGCACTGAATAAAATATTAGTAACATCTCCCTTTAATCTAACCCGACCTTAGCAAAAAGCATTTTTGACCGGGGAACGAAATCCAACATAAATACTTCAGTTTACAGAAGACAAACCCAGCTGGAGAGATAGCTGTTTGCAAATCTCAAGAGGCCTCAGAAGAGGGCAGTATTGTACAGGCGAAGTTGCGTTATCATTAGATTATATTAACACGAAAAGCCGACGGCTATTTTAAAGTTAATTACACAAAACACACAACAGAACACTCCGAAACAGGGAGACACAAAACGGAAACGTGTACAGACCTGCAAAAACACGTCGAATCTTAACACGAATGCGATAAATCGATGTACAACGAATCTGTCCATACGATAACATAATATTTTAAGCGTTATTTCCATAGTGCGAGGAAATGTGATAGAAGAACGATAACATGTACGTCTATCGATAAAACTCCATTTGAGCTTCATGAAAAGTGAGGAGGGGGGCGGATGTCGAATGCTTATTCAGCTCGCTTAACAGCTTTCAGCGTCGGCTGCTGGTACGCCTGCTTTAAAATTCAGTAACTCTGCATTTAGCGCAAACTGGCTATTTATGTCATTTGTATGAACCTCACAATAAACAGCGATCATTTCATTAAACAGCGTCAACCAGTTGATCTTCGTAATGGTGAAGTTCTGTGTTTTCTTTGCGGTACGGACTGAATTTTTAAATGTTATCAGTCCAACTCAGAGCTTCACTTTCTAAACACATCAGGGCCGGAATTCCCGCACAGTTTATCCACATTATACACAACTACCTGAATAACAGAGTCTTCACGGTCGTCCATGAAAATTCGGAATCCACACGGCGTCCTATTCAGGCAGGAGTCCCCCAAGGCAGCCTGTTAGAGCCAGTTTCATTCAATATTTATATAAATGATTTACCAACTATAGAAAATGATAATAATGTGGCCGTCTCGATTTACGCTGATGATACGAGCGTCACTGCTCGATCAGGCAGCGTACAGTTGGCGGCAAATAAACTGAATAAAGCCATTACAACTTTCGAGCCTTGGTTTGAAAAATGGAGGATTAAGATTAACGTTCATAAATGCGCGGTGACATTATTCTCTAAACGGCTGTCGCCCCTCCGCAGCGAAGTACCTCCCCTGAAGATCTTTGGAGCAACCATCCCCCGGGTAAATGAAGCCAAATACCTTGGCGTCATCCTGGACCGCAAACTCACCTACAAATCACATATAAGTAAAGCAGTGTGCAGAGCCAACCACAGGCTCAGCCAACTCTATCCAATCCTTACCAAGTCCTCCTCCATCAACATTAACCTCGCACTTACAATCTATAAAACATACGCGGCACCGGCATGGGGACACGCGGCCAAAACTTACGTCAGTAAGCTCCAAGTTTTTCAGAACAAGGTGCTCAGAATTATAACGAAACTCCCAAGGGTAACGTCAATCGAAATTTTACATGAGCAAACTGGCATGGAGACGTTCCGCAACCATGTCAGGAAGCTAGCAAATAAATTTTATGCTAAAAGTCAAGCAAGTGAGAACTCCCAAATTAGGCAATTAGGTCAATATGACCCCATTTACGATAAATACCAGCAACCGCGGGCCCTACTAGGGGGCTGATCCTTCACATACCGCACTACTTACATATATTTAAACAAACTATAGCCCCTTTTGGGAGAAACTGTACTTTTAGCCAGCCGTTCATCGGAGGACGCTCCAGCGGAACTCCTGCCATGGACCAGACCACGAAACCGTCAGCTGAAGAAGACCACGGAAACACGGATGACCTGCATCCATCATATTATGTTGTATTATTACACCAAATGTACCTGACTTTATCAATAAAGCCCATGGCACAAGTTAGGGAAACCTAGGGGTCGTACTAATCTCTCTTTTGTCTGCCGGACCGCTGGCTAGTAGTCAGCGCGCACCCGGAAGGTCCTGCGACCGGCCATCTCGACACAGGTTTTCCTTTTCGTAGGAACTTCTACATTATGTTCCAAACTTCCAAATTAATAGCCTCAGCTTTCTCTAATACAAAATTTCAAAATTCCGTCTTTTATGCCAATCATCACACTAACGCCTTCACTCTTACTTTATCATTAACAGAAGGACGAGCGGGCATTGCCTGGGGACCTTCTAACTATAAGATGCTCTTTCTCCCCCCCCCAGATATCGAAGTGTCTCTCACTTCTCCCCCACCAATTTCCTCTTTCTCTCACTTCTCTCTCTCTCTCAGATCTTCAGAGGAGCGATGAGCCTTATTTAACGCTCATTCAGCGACGCTGCTAGTAGCTCAGACTAAACAGAGTCTAAAATTACAATGACTAATGAACAATTACTTTAAAGGATGTGCAAAAAAATTCTCCGCGCCTAATTTAAGCGACGAATCCAGCACTTGCCGAAAGAGACTGAGGAAAACATTGAAAGACCTCGGTCGGGGTTAACCGATTTCTATGTCGAAATTTTAACCCTGGACCTCCGAATGTGAATGAGTAATGCTCATATAAATCGGCTGCAAATTACGGTAATTTAAAGCATATTGGTAGCTGTACGCACCGCCTGCTTCAACATTACCTAACTCTGCAGTTTCCCAAAGAATACATGATACTGACAATAAAAAAGGACAGTTTACTCCATTCCTGTGACGAAACATGACGACGTAATCCTTCTCGTTCTTCCTATGTTTGCTTCCGGACCAACATCATTAGAACGTAAGAGAGTTTATACACAGTTCATATTGAGTCGTCCAGTAACACATGGACACCGGTCTTTAAGTTGACAAATACGTATATTTTCTTAAGAGAATTTGTCTGTAAAATAAATTAAACCTAAAAGAGCTCACGACTTTAAGTAACACGAATATTTATACCAAAATGTTGCGTATGAAGTTCCTCTCCGTCTCTTCCAAATATTTGCGAACTTGGGAGTATTTTATAGTGCCATAACAGCCTTCCCTCTCCGGAGCAGCGAGCTCTGAATTTATTTTTGTTACGCTGTTGTCTCACTTACACAGCTGAGCCTCAAGCAAGCGTCTCTAACTGCAACAACAGAGCATCAACATCAGATTGAGATACGGAGACATCTATTATCTCTTCCGAGAATGGTCCCGGGAGGGCCCTACATCGCTGAACATCATGATAAAATGCGCTGACATTTATAGTCACTTGCCTTGTGGGCAAATTCATCTTTCAATCTTATTCCGTCTATTTCCACCCGCAACGTACATAGGAATATATAAAGTATGAGAGACGTAAATAAAATAGCAGATCGATAATGTTACCACGAACTACAGATAAAATATTATGTTCAAGATTACTTTCATTCACACCGTTAATGACTCATTCATTGTCATCTCATTTTCTCTCA